ACATCTATCCTGCTGCAATGATGCATTGGCTGCAATCGAAAATTGCATATAAAATAAGAAGCAAAAAATAAGTGGCCATAAGAAAAATATATAATTAAATTCAAGATGAACGAAGCGCCCTAATATTACTTGAAGAAGAAGTTTACTTATTACATTATTTGTTGCCAACAACAGTGCACGCTGTTAGGACATGACAATATATTGTTAGTTTTACGGGGCGAGGTTGCCAGCTGAACGTGACGAGGTTGCCATATGGTGTGGCAACCTCGCACCATCACACCATGTGTGATGCTGTGGTGATGTGATGGTGTGATGAAGGTGTTGTGATGTGTGGTGATGGTGTAGTGATTGTGTGGTGATACTACGGTGATTGTGTGCTGATGGTCTGGTGATGGTGTGGACGTGTGGTGATGGTGTGGTGGAGGTGTGGGGAGGTGTGGTGATGGTGTGGTGATGGTGTGGTGATGGTGTGGTGATGGTGTGATGATGGTGTTGTGTTGGTGTTGTGATGGTGTGGTGTGGTGATGGTATGGTGATGTTAGCTGCCATAAACGTTGAATTCAAAATCGTTCCCCACCCACCATTTGCCCATCAATATGAAAGAACAATAATTGTGTCCATTGTATTCACTGTAATCGCTGAATTAATTATATTCATCTATTCAATATATTCATATAAGATGAACAAATTTACTTATTATCGCAAGAGGTTGGTTGGAGGAGGAAAATTTGCTGCACTCGCCGTATTTTTAGCCAAATTCAACGAATCGTTGCGGTTGTTCACGGGCCGCTAATCTCTGGGCATCCTGTTAACATCATGTTAAATTCTATTCTTTAGTCCCCTTGTTCGCACGCTAATTTGATATACCCACAAAGTTTAAACTTCATTAAATTTGACGTCTAACTAGTGCTGTTGCTCTCCTGTTAGTTTACTTTCTCCATTTTTACAGTCTATTTATTCCTGTTCCATCGTTATTTATAGAAGGTATAATTATAGAACTCGTGATAATTCTAGAACTTATGACAGCTCCTGAGTTTACGACAATTATAACTTTAATTATAATTCTCAAACTTATGAAACTTCTTGAGGTCACGACCATTCAATGATCTAGAAAAGACAATGTACATTAAACTTAAGTTCATCGTCATGTCCTTCGGTTATTGTAATTATTATTGCGAGGGCACATTTTAGTTCGTCTTTATTCAGTACCGTTTACTGAAAATTACTCTAAAGAAGTAGGCAAGTTTTGATGAAAAGATCATTTTGTGTTATTCAAGGCTTGCGACTGGTGCGACGGCATGGTGCCCGAACTGTTTGGTATGGATCTATTAATTGAAAATTTGAACGCTTATTTTGAATTATTGTTAAGTTGAATCACTAGTTCTTCATTCTTGTTGTACATTTGCTCTTTTATTTTGTTTTCAGAAACCGTTTGCGGTATGGTTAATATAGGGTGGATAAATGTTAATCATCCTGCGACGCGTTATATCGAACGTTATGGGTTACCTCAAAAGAAAGGTGACCGCCAAATTAATGCTACCGTATAAGAGGTCATCTTTAGTTATTATGCATGTCTCAGACAGTCTTTGCTGTGCCGGACTATCAGGCAAGACTTGTTAAAAGGACAAACTGTTAAGCAGCAGAAATAAATAGAAAAAACCGTATTAAATTTCGGCACAAGTTTGAATACAAAAAATGAATGAAAACGAAGAAATTTTATTAAACGACAAAACGCAGTGGGTTAACAGCGGCCTGATAAGCAACTGATATACGTAGGATTGGTTGGTATTGCACGCAAAATTGGCGGGTATGGGTACAAGTACAGAAATTAAGTGTTGAATATAATTTGAATATATACAAGGAATGAGTCACGAAAACACAATTGCAAGACTCTTTCTCTCTCTCTTTCTCAAGCTTCCCTGCGAGAACGTGGTCAGTGTGCAATAATTTAGTAGTATTGTGCAATAATTTTGCAGTATTTAAAGTATCAATGATAATCAGCCGGTTAAGATGATGAGGAGGTAAGCCGCAGGGATTCAATCAGGTTGAAATACGAGGTAGAAGTGCGAATTTTTATCTGGTTAATACAGATAAGCAGATTAATATGCCTGTCTAGCAATCAATTCAAGTTATAGCTCAGAGTATGCCACTATAATAAATCGATATTCAAAGGTATGAACAAAATAACTAACCTATTTGCCTCCTTGAATGATCCATAGATAAGAGTTCTCAAAGAGAACTAATGAAAATAGAGAAAACAGTTGACGATGTGTCCACCCATACTAAAGTTAAAGGCGTGCACGCATGCACGTTAAAGCCGGCAGAAAATAAGTATTTACAGAGTAAATGCTCCACGGAGCCAAAAACCCAAATAGTTTTATAACCTGGCTTAAAGACAGGAAAAATAAATTCAAATGAGTGGTCAAGAAGGGCTCGAAGATGCAATTTTAATGAGCTAAAAAAGGAAAACACATTAGCACAAACTCCAAATCATTAACAGAAAAGCAAGATTTGTCGCACGTCACATGATGGTTCAAGTATTAGATCCGCACAGATGTAAGGTAGGCACAATAATAATTCCGATTAGCTAAACATGGACGATCTCGCCTCCTAACAAACTAATAGCGATTAAGCAGCGTATCTGCATTATTGAAGTTAAACGGTGCTAAATATATAATAAATTTTTAACCCCCCAGCTATGAAAGAGCAATGAATGCACACAAGCTAATCAGCAATAAGGAAAAATAAAATAGTATGTATGTAATAGCCACCATTAGATTGTATCCAAGATTAAATAAAAATTAATAAAAGACGTCTGACGTTGCCTGTATGTGTGTTCCGGACATGATACGTCGCATGTTCCGGACATGATACGTCACATGTTCCGGACATGATACGTCACATGTTCCGAACATGATACGTCACATGTTCCGACGGGCATGATACGTCACATGTTCCGGGCATGATACGTCACATGTTCCGGACATGATACGTCACATGTTCCGGACATGATACGCAACATGTTCCGGACATGATACGTCACATGTTTTTTCACAAGCCAGGCTCACCTGCTGTTTTGACCACCATATTGCAACAAATAATATGTAAGAAATTACCACTTTCGGATGCATTGCTGCCTTCACTTAATTGTTGCCAGGTGACGAGGCAGCGCACCTCCAAATTTGCTCAGATTTGTTACCTTATGTCACTTATTAAATGTGAAACAATCATTAGGGCATTTCGCTTTTTCTTGTTGCCCTTCAAGATAAAAGAGATGTTCAAATTTTATTGTACCGGCAGCCGACCTAGCAACATCTCTAATCTTACCTGCGATCTGACTCGTGGACTACGCATCGTCAGCGACCACAGGCTCCTGCTGAGACTATTGTTCTGCTGTCTTATAATTTTGTGTGAATGTGGTTTCTAGCAGGATTTATTTAACTATTTATTACTCGTGTATTAACTAGGTAGGATTTATCTTAGGCTCACCATAATTTACGTTTTGGGATAACCTCCATTTGGGACGTTTAATGTGGATATAAATTAACTTTGGTCATTTGCTTAGGGTCTAGTATAGGTAGATGGAGGTTTAGGGTTTCATTCCTCCTGCAACTTTTTCCCGTGCATTTGAACCTCCTACTGTCCTGCCTTTCCTTTCTGGAGAGCCTTCCTCCTACTTTACACTCCTCTTCTGTTAGGGTTTCATTTCTTACGCTAGGTAGTTGTGACTACGGTTACACACTGAATTCCGAAGAGATTTATATGTGTGCCATTACTCTCATATGATTTAATATGATATATACTGCCTTGATCATTGCATGTATCAAGCTTTGTGGACGCCAGATGTACTCATGTCATAATGTTAAATTAGTTGAACAGTAAAAACTTAGTCGTTCTGTGGCGCCTGTTACCGATCCCGACCCTTAACCTGGACCTGTTTAAGCTGAAGATTTCAAATTCTGATGTCCAGTTGACCAAAATTCTCGAACCTGGTCTTACCAATTATAACTTACTTCGATGGATAAAGAATTTACTCACCATGAATGAACTCCCATTGCTTTCCGTGGATGAAGAAGACCCAAGGAGATTCAAACTTTGATCTCTTCTAATAAAGGATAAAATGATCCTCTGATTATAAATCTTTACTTTACCAATTATGTGGTGATTTGAAAATTCCTTACAAAATAATAATAATTATTATTATTATTAATAGTAATAATTACATAGCTGCGTCACTAGTTAGTGACCTAGCTATATAATTTACTAACAACAGTTAGAGTGGTTCGTTCTGTCGTCATTAATTTTGATCATGACTAGTGCAGTGTTGGCGTTATAGTGACTGCGCTAGATGATACTCCTAAAAACTGTCTTTAATGTTTCTCGCTTCTTTCATTGGCACGTCTAGACTTCTATAGTTTACTTATTATTCAGGACTTTTTATTATGATGAGAAAAATTACGTTGCATTTCGTGGCTTCCAGACCACGACTGCGTACCATTCAAGCGTATAGGCCTTTTTGTACTTCATCTTTCCTGAAGTAGGTTTTTACAGCTCGAATATCATGTTAATGAGCATTTGTGTAGTTAGTCTTTGCTTTTTAGTGGCCGTATATTGTATTTTGTTTAGAACATCTCATCCCATTGATCATCTCTTCTTCAGCTTAGTGATGTTGCTCTCCTTCTTTGTGTATTATTTCGACGTCTCCTTTTCCCGAGTATATTTTTACTCAGTTTTTGATTATTGGTTAAAACATTATAATACATGTTTCAACATGTCTTCTAATCATGTTCAAAAGATCATCTAATCATGTCTTCTAATCATGCCGGCTGAACTCTGATATATATTCAGCTTCTCACTGAGAACGCTAGTGCGGTTGGGCAAACAAACAAGATGCTACGCGATGTCGATATGACGTCTCTCCCAGCCGTCATATTCATTGGACGTTGCTACGGTTATATTCAAGCCCGTATCGTGTTGGCATTTAAATGAAAGTCAGGATATATTTTATTTGCACAATAAATGTATTAAGGGCCTCATTTTAAAATATGTCACCAATAGCCTTATATGTCACAACCTTCCTATATAAGGACACTTAAGTCTTCATTTACTGTAATTTTCGTGTTATGCCTAATATCATGTAAACCTGTTACAATATTTGCTACGTAAATGCACAATAAAAAATTTTGCGTTGTCTGTGTAGTGCAGACAATGAGATTACCATCTTAAAGAATGGATCTGTCCCTCCCCAGGTCAGACAGTGAGGAGTCCCTTAATAGAAATTTGGAGCGTAGTCATACGAAGGCCTCCCCCATGGTGAAAAGGAGTTTTGACCGCTGTAGCTGGAGCCGAGAAGCCCTGCCCCCAGGCCCGCCAGTAATCCCGGCAATACGCGCGTTTTCGCCCTCCTCCAAAAACTTCGCCTGCGGGCCTCAACATCTGTCCCGTGGCTGAGCAGCAGGACCATCACGGCAAGGATACCGAGGAACCTGAGTCGCATCTTGCGTCCGAGCTTGCGTTCTGCAGTGGGGAAATAATTCATTGTATTTACTTATTGCAGATATTGTGGCAGGTTAGTTGTGTTCATCAGTTTCACCCGTTAATTACATCATTGAATACTAGTGGTTTTCCACCAAACTGGGCTCCTATAGAGACCAATTATGATTCAATTTTTGCTGCTATGTTATTTTTCATTGGTCTAAAAACATTAATATGCTACAAGTTTTATATATGAATATAAATATCATGCAATGAATTGCGTATAGAATACTTATGATTAATTGAACACTGCATATGTGGATCAGGGTTGAGTACCGGTATTTGGTATTTAGTAAACTAGAACGCACTCACCGCTGGCTAGGGTGAAGGTATGACGCTGGATGCCGGCGGTGTGGTTGGTGGCTGTTGACCCTTCAGTCGCGTTGTTTAGTATCTTGGTATTTCAAATTATCTGAACTATATTATATGTAGAACTATGGCTAGTTGCAAACCTCCTGCTAGCCTGCCAGACGGAGCACTAATCCCAGACCCTCGGTGTAGCCGCTTATATCCCTTATCGGATGCCACGGTCCGGAAGCTAAGAAATTATTGTAAGAAAATCAGAGATTTCAGTACATGGTGCGTGGCAGCGATGCTCCCAGGACATCCATCCTGCTGCAACGATGCATTGACTGCAATCGAAAATTGAAAATAAATTAAGAAGCAAAAAATAAGTGGCCAGAAGCAAAATATATAATTAAATACAAGATGAACGAAGCGCCCTAATATTACTTGAAGAAGAAGTTTACTTACCTATTACATTATTTGTTGCCAACAACAGTGCACGCTGAAAGGACATAGCAGTATATTGTCCTGCAGCTCTCCGAGGTGAGGTACGTTGCCAGCTGTACGTGGTGAGGTTGCCAGCTGTACGTGGTGAGGTTGCCAGCTGTACGTGATGAGGTTGCCAGCTGTACGTGGTGAGGTTGCCAGCTGTACGTGGTGAGGTTGCCAGCTGTACGTGATGAGGTTGTCAGCCGTAGGACGTGAAGTTGTCAACTGTGCGTGGTGAGGTTGCCATGGTGTGGCAACCTCACACAATCACACCATGTGTGATGCTGTGGTGATGTGATGGCGTGGTGATGGGGTTGTGGTGTGGTGATGATGTGGTGATGGGGTGGTGATGGTGTGGTAATGGTGTGGTGATGGTGTTGTGATGGTGTGGTGTGGTGATAGTGTGGTAATGGTGTGGTGATGGTGTAGTGATATGGTGATGGTGTGGTGAAGTGGTGATGGTGTAGTGATGTGGTGATGGTGTAGTGATGTGGTTATATGGTGATGATGTGGCGATGGTGTAGTGATGTGGTGATGGTATGGTGATGTTAGCTGCCATAAACGTTGAATTCGAACTCGTTCCCCACCCACCATTTGCCCATCAATGGAAAGAATAATAATTGTGTCCATTATATTCACTGTATTCGATGTGTTAATTATATTAATCCATTCAATGTATTCATATAAAATGAACAAATTTGCTTTTTATCACATGAGGTTGGTTGGAGGAGGAAAACTTGCTGCACTCGCCGTATTTCTGGCAAACTTGCACGATATGTTGCGGTTGTTCTCAGGCCGCTAATCTCTGGGCATCCTGTTAACATCATGTTAAATTCTATTCTTTCGTCCCCTTGTTCGCACGCTAATTTGATATACCCACAAAGTTTAAACTTCAGTAAATTTGGCGCCTAACTCATGTTGCCCTCCTGTTAGCTTATTTTCTCCATTTTTAGCGCATTTTCTCATTAATGGAAAAAATGCAATATTGTGTTCGTCATGTCCGTCAGTCCGTCTGTCCGTGACTTCACGTTTTCATCGATATTGAGAAAATGTGCTCTCTGTCACTCCTTGCAGTGAGTACTCTGAGTTGCAGTGATCGAGTTATATTTTTTAGAAACTACTTATTCCTGTTTCATCCTTATTTTTAGAAGTTATAATTTTAGAACTCGTGATAATTCTAGAACTTATGACAGCTCCTGAGTTTCCGACAATTATAACTTTAATTTTAATTCTTAAACTTTTGAAACTTCTTGCGGTCACGACCCTTCAATGATCTAGATAAAACAATGTACATTCAACTTAAGTTCATCGTCATGTCCTTCGCTTATTGTATAATTATTATTATGATCTCAGACAGTCTTTGCTGTGCCGGACTATTGGGCAAGACTTCTTAAAAGGACAAACTGTTAAGCGGCAGAAATAAATATAAAAAACTCGTACTGAATTTTGGCACAAGTTTAAATACAAGATGTCAATGAAAACGAAGAAACTTTATTTAACGACAAAACGAAGTGGGTAAATAGCGGCCATGTAAGGAACTGATAAATTTAGCAGTGTTTGGTATTGCACGGAAAATACTGAAATTAATTAAATTAAATAATATATAATATAAATAATAATTATTTAAATTAAAAATTACCGAAATTAAGGGACGAGTATAACAGTGTTTGAATATACAAGAAACTATGAGTCACTGATACACTATTAATTACGCGTCTCTCTCAAATCTCCTCATGAGAACACGTGGTCACTGTGCAACAATTTAGGAGTATTCAAATTATTAAGAACAATTAGCAAATTAAGATAATAGTGAAGTAAGCCACAAGGATTCTGCAAGGTTGCAATACTAGGTGGAAGGGCATATTTTTATCTGGTAAATACTGATACACATTAAGATTAAGATACCGATACAGATCAAGAAACCCGTCTAGCAATCAATTTAAGTTATAGCTCAAAGTATGCCACTATAATAACATAACATNATCATATAAGGTGTGCATCATATATAACCTCATCTGAACGGATTCCGAAGAAAGACAAAATAAAGTATATATGAGATTTTTAAATTTATCTTTTATTTCCCTATAAAACTTTCATCAAGGAGAACGGCTGTTAGTCTCTCGTAGACACTCATTTCTACACACTGACTCGCAGTAAGCTGCGCGGTTCAGCGTCTAGTTTGGACACCATATGCGCGGCGCGGCGCCGCTCTGCTTGAAGCGTCAGCCAGCGTACGCGTGAACGCTTTTTTAGTCTGGCCGTAGCCTTAGTCGGCTAAGCGCCGGCACAGTATACTCATGCCGGCTAAGTATACTAATGTAACCACTTCAAACTTCAATAATTATTCAACGATATGCATCAACCTCGGCTCTGGTAATTTTTCAAACACTGACAACTGATTGAGACCAATGCTAAACTACTCGGATGAGCGGTTACAGAGTTAAACGATTACAGGGCAAACGCTTTGAAAACCGCTTGATTATTCGCGTAACCTTTCCCAATACCAACAATTTATCAGTCATTTACTCCAAACTTTGCACACATACTCATATTAATCTGTCTCTTATACACATCTAGATGTGTATAAGAGACAGGGCCGGAAGAGGACAAAGCCGAGTGGTTCACGGCTGATTGGTGGATGTCCGGAGAGATCCAAGGCGTTCGATTCAGGGCTTATTGGTGCACAAAATTGGTGGTGCACGGTTGCGCTCCCGTTAGCTGCGATAGACGTTGAATTCCAACTCGTTCCCCACCCACCATTTGCCCATCAATGTGAAAGAATAATAATTGTGTCCATTGTATTCACTGTATTCGCTGTGATCATTATATTAATCCATTCAATGTATTCATAAAAAATGAACAAATTTCTTTGTTTTCTCGCAAGAGGTTGGTTGGAGGAGGAAAACTTGCTGCACTCGGCGTATTTTTGGCAAACTTGCACGATAGGTTGCGGTGGTTCTCAGGTCGCTAATCTCTGGGCATCCTGTTAACATCATATTAAATTCTATTCTTTCGTCCCCTTGTTCGCACGCTAATTTGATATTTGACGCATAACTCCTGTTGCCCTCCTGTTAGGTTACTTTCTCCATTTTTAGCGCATTTTCTCAGTAATGGAAAGAATGCCCTATTGTGCTCGTCATGTCCGTCCGTCCGTCCGTCCGTCCGTCTGTCCCTGACTTCACGTTTTCTTCGATATTGAGAAAATGCGCTCTCTGTCACTCATTGCAGTGAGTACTGAGTTACATTTTTTATAAACTACTTATTCCTGTTTCATCCTTATTTATAAAAGTTATAATTATAGAATTCGTGATAATTTTAGAACTTATGACAGCTCCTGAGTTTACGACAATTATAACTTTAATTTTAATTCTTAAACTTTTGAAACTTCTTGCGGTCACGACCATTCAGTGATCTAGAAAAAACAATGTACATTCAACTTAAGTTCATCGTCATGTCCTTCGGTTATGCAATTATTATATTTTGGCGCAAGTTTAAATACAAGAAGTCAATGAAAACGAAGAAACTTTATTTAACGACAACACGAAGTGGGTAAATATATAGCGGCTAGGTGAGGAACTGATAAATTTAGCAGTGTTTGGTATTGCACGGAAAATTGGCGGATAAGAGTACAAGTACCGAAATTAAGGGACGAGTATAACAGTGTTTGAATATACAAGAAACTATGAATCATTGATACACTAATGCGCGTCTCTCTCAAATATCCTCATGAGAACGTGGTCGCTGTTCAGCAATTTAGGAGTATTCAAATTGTTAATAACAATTAACAGATTATGATAATAAAATAATGAAGTAAGCCACAAGAATTCAGCAAGGTTGCAATACGAGGTGGAAGGACATATTTTTATATGGTAAATACCGATACTCATTAAGATTAAGATACCGATACAGATCAAGAAACCCGTCTAGCAATCAATTTAAGTTATAGCTCAAAGTATGCCACTATAATAACATAACATAACACAGTGATGTCGGCGCTGAAGTGTAGGCCTGATGTGGCCTGTCACCGATTCTCTTCCTTTTCGTGCCTTGTTCACAGAAGATCTAATATCGTGTCATTTGACCGGATCTTTTCCAGGACGGACGATAGTTTGAAGTAGCTGCTAGACTTCCACCGCGGGTTCGATAAGGAGTAGAGGCATTTCAAATCTGAACATATATTTTCCATAGCTTTATCTAGTCTGTTCTCGACCGCGTTCATACACATGTACTTGGAGCGCCAACGATGTCATGCAGGGAGGCTGTTCCGCAGGTCGCGGTAATTCGTAGCTATAAGAAATTTTGTCGCGTGGAGAAGTTGCAGCGCAGTTTTTTAGTTTATAGCCGTGGCCCCTGGTGTTGGTTAAATCGAAATTCAAAGTATGAACATAATAAATCACCTATTTGCCTCCTTACTTGATCCATAGATAAGAGTTCTCAAAGAGAACTAAACTAATGAAAGTAGATGAAATAGTTGAAAATGTGTCCACTCATACAAAAGTTATAGACATGCACGTAGTAAAACTCCACGGAGCCAAAAACCCAAAAGATTTTAATACCTTGCTTAAAGAAAGAAAAGTAAATTCAAATGAGTGAACACGAGCGGCTCGTACATGCAATTTTAATGAGCTAAACAAGGAAAACACATTAGAACAAACTCCTATGCATCTTAAACGACTGCTTCAAATATCCA